TCAAATCCCTACAAACCAACACTTAAACATGTCAGGATGTATTTAAAAATATCCCAGCTTCATGGATACAATTCCATTAGTTATTATCCTTCCATTTTATTGGTAGTAATACTTCCCATATCTCTGTTATTGGCGCTGCGTCATTCCTATCGCAAGTGTTATGGGGGTAGATTTCGCAAACAAAGATTTTGTGATCGACCTGTGTCTTCACGTAACCACATTACTTTTTAGAACTGTAATTCTATCCCATCCTATTATGTGATTCTGTGCACATTCGTGAGTACGGCCATCTTTCTGGAATCAGCCAGCCTATGCACAACTAAATTCCTATACACCGTCAACCAAACTGACTCCGCTCTAATTGTTTGATCTGTGTAGCTGATCTCACAGTCACCGCAATACCTTATTTTCCTTAACTGCACCAATAGAGCCGTTTAGACAATAAAGCTTATCAGTGAGTGAGTTTGTAGGTTTAAAATACCACCCTAATTCATGCTTTATTATGAATCCTACGTATGGTTTCAGGTGTCTCCTGCTTATATGGTTAAACCGTAGATGCCTTAAATTCCTTCTTATTTATATTATGGTCATCAGTTTCTCCATATTATTATTATTATTATTACCATTTCTGTCTTTTTGTTGCGAACTCCTGTAGTCTCCTTAATGAATTTTATGGGATAGTTTCACCATTACAGTGAATTATTTAGGCTCTATGACGTACTACTCAGAATTTTCGCTCAGTTGGTAAGACACCTAGCTACTCCGGCCTTTACTATTAACAGTTGGGATGATATAAAGTTTAAGAAATGTCGTTAGGGTGAGAGAGATATTAATCACTGAAAACTTGTTCATCGGATATACGCTCAAACCACTTGCAATAGGAATGACGCAAAATCAGTACCACAGATATGTGGAAAATAATATTACCCATAAAATCAATGTGTACAAAATAATGGAATTATGCAGAGAAAATTTGAGAGGTTATGTGCGTAGCGGAAAACTCCATCTCGACGACCTAACACAACAGTAATACTTATTTGAACGTTTCAACTAACGTTGTAATTATTATCATTAATTTTTCTCCTAAACTGTATCTCATAAGAGAGTATTTTCGTGCAACTAACACCTTATGCTCATCAGTGGTGAAGGTTGAGGATAAAATAGAAGAAGAAAATCAGCAGAATTATGTATACCAGATCAACTGTGGCAACTGTGACGCCGTATATGTAGGAGAAACTTCCAAACAGGTAAATATATAAGAGTGAAAGAGCATAAACAATGTCTAAAGGTGGTTCCAAAGACCTGCAAACAAATCAGCGATTGCACTGCATTCGAGGGAAACGGGACACGAAATCGACTTTGATAAGACTAAGGTACTACAGAAAGGTTTTGGTTCGTATAAAGAAAGACTGATTGACTGCAGAAGCCCTACATATATGAGTGAATCCCAACAGTTTGAACAGACCTGAAGGTGCGATGTTAGCTGATGCATGGCAAATCCTGGCTAATAAATAAAAATTGAAAATGTATCAACAATTAATCATACTTGGTCAAAATTCCCGATTGTCTACGTCTTCTTATGTAGAGGCTAAGAAGTGTTTTATGACTGTTCATCCACACACACACCATTGTATACGGCATATACACATATACATTTTAACAAAAGTAGGCTAATTTTGAGAGTCTGAGGTCAAATTTTGATCACAGTTCATACTATTTTGTATTTATTATTATATTTATTACACACGTTGATGCCTGTTTCATGACTAATACGATTGGACAAAGTTTTTAAAAACAAGAGATGTTTCTTTTATATATAAACCTCTGTTATGTTAATTTCGATTAATTTCCCTGAAGAAGTTCGGACCAGATTGCCGAACAAAACGTTGGAATTAATCGTGGTTTTACAAAGGAGAAAAATGATGCCCCGCAGCTCCATCTTAGAACATCTGATAGAATCCGGACACCAAGCTACACCGCAAACAAACTTCAAAGTCGTCTACAGAGTAAGAAGCAGTCCTCCTAAAGGTGTACGAATCAGACTTCTTCAAACTACAGAAGCAATTGTGATTCCCCTGCTAAGTCCTGAACTCTGCAAACAGAAGAAGTTCGTTCAATCACTACATTTGCAATGGACGTAATCTATCTTATTACAAGACAAGTAAATTCTGTCTTTTCAATAGTATTATTTTGTCTTCTCAATTGTAATATTTTACATTTTCAACTTTCTTCTTCTCTACGCCCACTCGTTTTAATTTCTACACCTCACTACCACTGTTACTGACTTGACCAAGGCTCAATTTCTAGTCATTTATGTTACGTCAACCAACTTATTTGCTCAATTGCAGTTCTAATTTAAATGGTATTATTCTCTACCCCACTTCTACTTAGTCTCTACCTGTAATTACCTCTGTTGCTACCCTGACTTAATTTGAAATATTTTAGTCAGTTATATGACGTCATCTAACTTACTAACTCAATCTTACTTTAGTTGCTGTCTGATTAACCTTGTTTCTATATTAGATCATTAGATCTTGTATTACCTGATTAATTATCTAAAATTGACAAACCTCATGTACACACACACACAAATAATTATATATAAACGTGAATGTACACCTATGTGAATGAATTCGCCGAAAAGAGTCTCTTCGCTGAATGTCTTCTCTTTTTCATATGACTCAATGGGGATTTTCAAGCTACTTGATCATTTCAATTTCGCTGAGATTTTACAAATGTAACTTTTTACAAATGTCTACTTCTCACTCGGCGCCCAATTATTTTGTGACTATTCGGTCAAATCTTGATCACAGTTCATATGAATGAATGTATCTCACTGTCGTGATATTTGCATATCACATATTGATTTTACCCTTATTATTTGTCATCGTCCTTGCTTAATCTTTAATTGTAATACTTCCCTTCGTGGTTGCTCGATACATTGATAATGTGTTGTTTTATTGAAAGAAGCTGATTCTGACCTTGAACTATTTTCAGGAATTGTTGATGTTTGAACCTTGTGGATAGGGGTTTTGATCTCACTCTGCTGGGATAATTCTACTTGATTTCAAGTTCTCGTTTTGCACTTAGACTGGACTATGTTACCTACCTAATGGCTTTGTTGTGATAATTTTGAGTTTATTTTATTACCGTTAAATAGATCCACAAAATTATTCCAGAATAATCATCTTTTTCCTGTCTTTCGTGACTGTGCGTTTCCAAAGGAAGTTTGCCAGCGATCCAGTAGAATGCAGAAATAGGTTTCCTGCTTTCAGACCATAACGAGTCAGTTTTGGTAGCTAAAATGTGGGCGCCCCATTGATATGATTATGAGCAGCAGTAAATTGTGCACAAAATCGTCATCGATAAATAAGTAATTCTGTATCATTGTGTGCATCGTTTTATCAGATAAAGTTATTTTATGATGGAGTTATTAATCTGATCTTGTATTAATTGCGATTCGGGGAGGGGGGAGCGAGGCCAATAACTAATCAATTAGCTGTGTAAAAATGTAGGTCATAGAAGATCTTCCCTATAGGTAAAATCAGTCATGTTTGCAGGTTAGGCTATGTGATAAATTGGACAGTGTTAGGGAATGAAAATATGAGATATCTATGCACCCGCTGACCCATATTAATCCAGTATAAGACTATAAGTTATATTATCACAACTTAGCGGATGATTTATGTTTCATATCACAAAAACTTGAAAATCGACAGACGGAAACCAACAAGGCAGGCAGGCAGCAAAGACACGACTTCAAGGGAATACAGAGAAGGAAGTTAGAGATGTTGAAGATATCCGATAACCAACAACGACAAGTATCAATCCCTACCAGTGGGAGAAATCTGAAAGAAGTTTCCCTATCCAATTATTTAGGCAGTATCTTCGCAATCACAAGAGTCACGGCAGGGATGAAGATGTCAAATCCAAACAGAATTGAAAAAGCCAAATGGACTTTCTTTGCCCTGCAACCAGTGTGGAACTCTGTTGGAATCAGGGTCAGGAACGTGATGTGAACTCTCAACACCACTGTCAAGTCAGTCAGTGCCTCGATATAGTCCAGATAAATTGTGTTGTACGAAAAGCATTTCCAGCAAGTGGTTGCAAAACTTCATCAACAGGTATATTTCCTGAACAATGACAAGAAAGAATAAGCGAGTAGACACTCTGACAGCCAGAGAACCAAATATGTTGGTATTAGATGGTTGGAGGCAATCGGCAGGAAGCCTTGGACCTAGGTTTCGTGCTAGTTGGCACTCATCAGCAAGGTGTATCTGCAACCTTGAAGGAACTGATAGAATTCAGTCTGCACCAAATAGGACTAGACCATTACACTAGTTACTGACTAGTGTGCAATCAAAAAAATATGTTCAAGCGAAAATGGAGACGGATCGAACAGTAAACTGAGGAGACCGTTGAGCGACATCATGTCATTATCTGATAGTATCATGGAGGGGATCGTGTGAGGTGGAGATAAAAGTGCTGCTAATGCTCCCCTCGATTATGTTCATATGAACTCAGGGGAATAATGACAATAATATTAATAATCGGTGGGTCATCCATCCTGACACTTGACTGGATGGACCTCACTGGTCACGACTTCTTAGTAGAAGTCCAGGAAACTCCGTCCTGTAGCAAGTCACTAGCGAGCATCAGATTAACCACCGATGACATTGGTTGGTGGTTGCGCTAAATCACGAATTGGTAGAAGTTAGAATTCATGGGCTGGCCGTTGAATCCGGTCCCAGTGGCTGAATGGTATACGCGTTTGCCTTGTAACCGGAAGGTACTGGGTTATAACCCTGGTGGTGGGTGCGTACTACCGATGATTCCCAAACTAGGACGAAACAGCTACTGTCCAGTACTCCCTGGTTTTCAATGGTTCTCTAACTGATATCAATCCGTGGTCAAACTCATAAAAACAAATCTAATCCTTACAAACCAACTATAGAAAAATAATAATCATAATAAAATCACGGAAAAAAAACCCAACATACCTCTTCGTAATTCTTGTCTTTCTAATAAACATTTCCATTCCATTTGAGCAACAGAATTTCGCGAATCCATTGTACAACATTGAAATCTTTCTTCTAATTCATTTCTAATCTGTTCTATGTCATAATCAATCCTGTTTGAATCTTTATTATTATTATTATTTTTATTATTATTACTGCTATTTTTACTATTCAACATGTATTCACTTTTACTGAGATGTTTTCTCAATGCCAGTCGAGAATTCGCTTTTTTACTTTCTTTTATGGTATTGTTATTGTTACCAGCATTACTGATATTTGATGGTATATTATTCTGAGATGATCCTGTTGATGATGGGACTATTGCCATACGTAAATTTGTATTCTCAATGAATGGAGCATTTTGCATAGACGGTGAATCATCCAGTGAAATCACTGAAGTCCGTATATCGCCTAATTCGCTAAGTCGGCTAACACTTTGAGATTTGTACTTGTATAACTTTTTTAGATTCTTTTTCTCTGATTTCTACGTGAAATAATAGAAGAAAAAAAAAAAACAAGAGGGAAAGAAGAAGTTACAGCAAAAGATGGTCACATAATTTGTAAAATTGTTCATTAAGTGGACACTTGAGAGAGGTGTGTATAGAAAAAACGCATTCACAAGGTAATACAAGCACCACCTTAGTTACATGCTCATTAAATATGAAAGAAGGGTTGTTAGAATTTAATGGCGACTTTTCGAGTGAGATTTTATTGCAGAAACTTTCGAGGAGTATACGAAGAACGTTTTACACAACACACCTGTGTTTGTCATTCTCTAGCCGACGAATGATTGGAACGCAAACGAAAGATAAGCTAGATAGTTTTGCCACATCTATGTGCATTTATCAATTCAATTGCACCTGCGGTGACAGTTATTTTGGGCGTACTACTAGACAAGTTAGCCAACGTATCACTACTGAACATCTCCCATAGTGGTTTGGTAAAGGACAGACAAAACAATCCGCAGCTCAATTTTGTCACATTTAGTTGATAGTGGTCATGTAGTGGAGAGCACGAAAGCTTTCAAGGTAATTCATCGTATCCCACTGAATCTTTCCAGTAGACTTCGTATTCGTCTACTGCACGTACACAGCTGAGGAGATAGGCATTCGAACTATTAAGCCTAAACTATGCATTCAAAAGAAGTTCATACAGCGATTATCCCTCACTTTGCATATTAGAACCTAACCAACTGATGACTTCTACACCACCCCTTACTTATACTTTTAACCTCTCTCTTATCATCCCTTAATCTCATTACATCTTCATTAAAACATGTTTTGCTGACTTCCCTTACAATTTAGCACTACGTAATCGGTCCATTTGTTTTTCTTAGCCTTTATCGACTATTTCCATTTGTTCGTTTAATCATGCTGTTTATCATTATTCATGTTATCACAGATCGCTTCACTCTTCATCCTTATTACTGATAGGACCATTATTAACACTATTATTATTATTATGACTAATTGCACAATTTATATGTACAATCTTATTATCCTATAGACAAAACAATATGATTGGTTTATATTTGAATATTTATTTGTAAAGTTATGCTGTATATTAGAGTTAGGCCTGATGAAATCTAATTGAAACCGCAATATTGTTCTCCTAAATGTGTTGTTCTAAATTTAAAACATATTGCACAACAAGGCCGGTAAAAGATAACAGTGAGAAAGAAATGATACCGAATTGAATAAAGAAAGGTGATAAATAGGATAATACCAAAAATTGTTCACAGTGAAAATAATAATAATAATAACAGTCAATATAATAAGGGATGGTCAGTTGCAGCGAAGAGAATTTCCTTTTCAACGAAGTCATCAACTAGGCTGTACATTCATGTATTTGTAGAAAACGTGTGAGAAAGTCCCAGAACTATTTCCACTCGAGGAGCGAATTAATAAAATTACAAAGTGTAATAAACAGGAAGATCGGATAAAAAAAGACATCGAAATCCAGATAGGATCCGGAACATTTGCACTGAGTAATCAATTGACAAAGAATTGAGAAACCTCCGAGGGATTTTGATAGAAAATGGTTTCCCACCCAGATTCATAGACAAGAATCTAAAGCCAAAGAATGCATCTGAACAGGTCCAAGTTGTCCTCCAAAGGATGCTGATACTTAACCTCGAATTTCAAAGTGATACTGAAGCACAACTTCTCTGGAGATAGCTTTCGAAATCTCTCTTTTTATAAAATATTTCCCCGACAATCTACAAGTGGCATTTTCTTGCAAGAAACTATTCAGCATGTACGTGGAAGATAGGCCGTCGCACTGGGCCACTTCGACATGCAGATACCAGTTCACCTGCTGTTGTGGGGCAGTGTACACTGGCCGCGCCATGCGTCCACTAGTAAAACGTGCTTGAGAACACTATCTAGTATGGTTAGCGAAGGGAGAACGCAGGGGTGTATACAGTTCAGTAACAGAATATTTGGTGAATTCAGGACATTCAGCTCCATTTCAAAAGTCGAAGTCATATATACGATCCGATCAAACCCCTAAAACGGAGTGAAATCAAGACATCTGGGCATAGCTGAGGCACGTGCTCGCACATCTAAGTATAAAAATTCTATGATACCATACTTGTCACGTATTTTATGTGATGAAAATATTGTCAGGCAAGAATTGACTAACCTTTTTTCAAATCATGGAAAATTCCCATTGTAACATATAGAAAATCAAAACAAATGATTCAGCGAAGAGACTCTTTTCAACGAATTTATCATCAAGCTGTACAATCGTATATATATGGTTTTTAAGAAGTTATATCCGGTGAGGGAATTGAAACATAGGTGTGAATGCATGAAATAATAATAATATGAAGTGCAATTAAAACTAAAATGTTTGTGATTATAATCGTAGTTAAAGGTCAAGTGGCAAAGCAAATTAATGTCATATGTAGAATAATTCATAGGATGGATAGAACTTGAAAAAGGTGTGCAATTATAAGATTAGTAGACAAATCGAAAAAATAAAAACGTTACGTAATATTGTGTGAAATTTAATAGCATAGAATTTAATGTTGCATAAAGGAATTGATTTAGAATGACAAGTGGAACAAGTGAAATAATACCGGGGACAATTAAAAGTGAGAGTAGTAATAGTAACAATTGACTTAATAAGGAAGAGTATACAAATTGAATAGACAAAAATGAAAAAATGGAGAGTTGGTAGAGCTAAAGTATGATTGGGGATTACCATACTTTAGCATAGAGGGATTAAGACCATGAAAGTTGGAGGGGTTGAACGAACTTCCTTTTTTCATCTAGTAAATAAACAATCTCCTCCATCCATCCTTATATACCTTCAAGTTTTACTTTTATTATTTCTATTATATTTATGGTCTTGTCGCTTCTTTGTTTTTACTTGCATAACTGCAAACACCAACTTATCTCTATGACTGCTGTAATTTTTGTTTCTTCCCTCACCATATCATGTAAAGAGAATATGATATTCAATATTTTTAAACATGCTAGGATTTCTATACCGCATCGACAATACTGTGTGAAACAAGCCCACGGCAATTTTCGCTTGTATTATTATTGTTACCTTAGCTGTTATCATTATTATTATTACCATTTTAAATGCTGCATGTTTTTGACATTATCCCTATTGTAAATGTGGAAAATTTTCTGTGTGATTAATTTTATTTATAATTTGAGGAAATTAGATGCAATATTGTGATTAATGCTGAAAATTCCATTCTGTATTACAAGTACTGTTTTTGGAATAAAGTAAATTATTATTATGTGTGTGTGAAACTTGACCATTTTGGTAGTTAAAACAATTAGTCCCTTTGATAAATTTGTCTTCTTAATGCCTTATTCACATTTTGGTAGTATTTAATTCCATAGTAATTAGTTTATGGGACATAATTTATACAGGGTGAAACATCATTATTTACTGGATGGCAATGTTTCAAACACAAGTATTGATTATTCATAGTCGTATTATCAATTGTAACTCTTGTAACACTTCGAAACTCAAGTGAACTTATGAGTTCACCTTTTTGCTTCGTACTTGTCGTAGGGGTAGAAGAATTTTTCAGATATTTAGGACATGTGTTAACTCACTCCTATTGCACGCGCTTTCATCTGATTGGATAAATAAAGCCTTTGTTATCGATATCTCCCTACACCATGTTCAATATGATTTCAAGACTGTCACCTTGGCCGATCCTACTGTATGTTTGTGTGTAACTGCATGTACTAATATGGCCGTTTTATTTTCTCAACTTCTTAGCTTAGTAGGTAGAGTCATCTAATTTTTTGTGCTCCGCTAGTCTAATTTACCTCGTCCTATCATTTTGACCTTTGTAATTGACCTCACAATCCTGTCAGATTATCAGATAAACTAAATTGTTTTGTTTAATGAGCTGCACAGGTTCTTTTAACCGACATAATTTTTTTCTAAGTGGGTTTGTAGGCTACTGAAGGCCACTTTTATTTCTAATAGTGTGAAATATTCCCATATCCATGAATTAAAAGTCAATCTGAACGAAGAATATTCTTTTCAATAAAATTCTCTTCAGATTCTTACAATTTTTATTTATTTATTTTATTATCGCTTGATTCCACACACTATTTTTGGTACATCTATGCAATTTTCAGCATGTGATATCGGTAGCCTAAATTTAGCAGGCCGACCATTGATATCAGGTGTGCGTCGGGCGAGGATCGAACCTCGAACCGTATGCATAGTCGGATAGCGCATCCTAAGCGCTGTGTAACCGACGCACAATTATAAAATATAATATTTGTTGCCGTTACAAAAATGGCCAGTTGTGCGGCGGATTCATTTTTACACAGAATAACAAATTAGTGGCAAAATAATTAGTATTTGTGTGACAAACTTGCCAGGCTGAATTCACTTGCAAAATATTGTAAAATGGGAGACAATAGTGGTGATTAGTCACACAGTGGATTCGTGGAATGTGGGGTAGGGAAAATTGACAAGTCAGTTCAGGTTTATAAAAGGTGTCAGATGAGTGGCTAGTACAAAGTCGTGTGTATTAAAGGGGAGATAGTAAGACTGCAATGAGAGGTGCATCATGAAATAACCGACGTGTGAAATGAAACAGGTGGAGACATATATTGAGAAAAGAGATCATATCACTAATAATAAGTCCGGATAGTATAAATGGAAAATTCGATAGTATTGAGAGAATGTTTGAATGAAGAGTATAAATTATAACGAATAATAATATTAATTGTAATAATAAGCAAAGCAAAGCAAAACCAAGAGGGATAAGGGTCGGAGGTACTCTTAATGAGAAGAAGAATTACTAATCCAAGTTTGGCCATGGTATGAACAGCCTCTGGACGTGTTCTTTTGGATACGAAATTCCGGTTTAGTCAACCTTATTGCAACAGCTTCACTTATGTTTAGGAGACGCAGACGAACTGTACGTGATAACGACTTCGGAATCTAGTATGTATTTCTGCTTTGTTAATAATTCTACGTAGTGATTTCAGA